TGGTGCAGTGTGGACCACAGGACAACAGTCCTTGGTTTTGGGACAACTGGAGTTAGGCATTCTGCTTTGTGGTTAGCAGGTGGGTCCCTACCTGTGGCCTCCCTGGGCTAGGGGGAACAGACGGGTTTTGGGAGGCAGGGATTGCCTGGTTGCTGTTCCTTCTGGCACAGCTGTGATTGACACCAGCAAGGAGAGGGGTGTGGGACCTTGGACAGCAGGTGCAGTGGGCAGCCCCAGAGGTCTGGGATGTTCCACTTACTCTGGGTGGTGAGCCATGGGCTCACAAGTAGACTCCACCTAGACCACTTAATTTAACATTGGGTGACTGCCAGCTATGCTGGACTTGAGGCTACTAAGATGACTCACAGGATAAAGTTTTGGAGCTGTGAAATGTGGAAACTGGGACCCCATCCATCTGTTCATCCACCCACCCACCCTTCATAATTTCCGTCCATCCATTCATTCACTCACACCAGGTAGTGGAGGGGCAGGAGAACAAAGCAGATGGGTCCCCTGCCCTGGAGGAGGCACTCAGCATATGGGAAAGATCACAAATGCAGGCAAACAAATTACAAATGGCAACAAAAAAAGCAGAACAAGGCGCCCATGGCTCATGCTTGTGATCCCAGCTATTTAGGAGGCTGAAATCAGGAGGGTTGTGGATCGAGGCAATCCTAGGCAAATAGTTCTCAAGACTCCTGTCTCCGAAACAACCAGGGTAAAATGGACTGGAGGTGCAGCTCAAGCTGTAGAATGCCTGCTTTGCAATTGTGAAGCCCTGAATTCAAACCCCAGTTCCACTGAAAAAAAAAAAAAAACCCAAAAAACAGATTCATGGTTATGTTAACTGGTTGTTTTATTGGTGTGGACAAGCATCAAAATGAATCGTCCTCAATAAAACGAAAAAAGCTAAGAAATACAGTCTTCTTTTTCTCCTTGAGACAGGGTCTTGATGTGTAGCCCAGGCTGGCCTCAAACTTGAAATCCTTTCGCTTCCACCCCTGAATCCTGAGATTACAGGCATGCACCACCGCGCCTGACTCAGAAATCTAGATTTTTAAAAAAGCAATCATTTTGCCTTTTTTGGGCAAAACAGAAAGGTAATAGAGGATTGCAGAGCCAGGTTGACAGGACTCGGGGGAGGAGCCATCGCTGGAGGAAGAAGCAGCCCCAGAAGGCATTCTGGGCAAGCTGGCCTCAGGTCAGGGGAGTGACCTGGGCAGCAGTGTGGCTTGAGTGTCAGGAGGACAGAGGCAGGGAGACAAGACCAACCCTCAGGATAGAGCAGGATGTGGGCCACTGCTCCACAAGGCTTCGGAAGTGCAGCCCAGACACACTTGGCTTTGGGAATCGTTTGGCCTCACCCCCCCACCTCCATCTCCTGGGGCCAGCAGGCAGGGTGGTCATCCAAGGCCTGGCTTGTACCAAAGGCCCAGAATCTAGGCCATCCCAGGCAGGACAACACAATGTTGCCTACCGCCTTCCCTTTCTGCACATTTTACAGGGTAGGAGCCTGAGGCTTAGGACAGGAGGCTGGGTTCAAGTTCCTCCACCCTGCAAATGAACCAGCTAGAGTTTCACGGCTTTGTCTTTGACTCCAATGCCTCTGAAGTTCTATCAGTGCCCTGCCTGTACTGACAGGTCCAAGATTCCCAGTTTTCTTTTAGAAACGGTCTGCAGGGACCCAGAGACCCTGACCTGCACTTGTCTACACCAGGATCAGTTTCAACTTGTTCCACCCTGGGACAGCCGTTCCCCAGTTTTTCAGGTGGTTGGTTCCTCCAGGAGGCAGCTCTGACCCTTGAAGTCCGCTTTGTTTTTTTGGTGGTACTGAGGTTTGAACTTAGGGCTTTGCACTTACAAGGTGGGTGCTCTACCATTTGAACCAGGCTTTAGTCCCTTATTTTAATTTTTTTTTTGAAACATAGTCTCCCTGTGTAGACTAGCCTGGCCTGGAATTTGTGATCCTCCTTCCATTTGCCTTCTAAGTGGCTGGGATCATAGCAGTGCACTGCCACACCTGGTTTTCAACATACATTACAGCAGTCACCTCCTGACATTGTCCCTGCCCTTCTGAACTTGCTGCACAGTCCCAGGTGGGAGCCACTGGCCATTTGAATCTATTTAAGTTGAAATTCATTAAAATGGAGCATTTGGGGAGAGGGGAGAAATGACCCAAACATTGTATGCACATATGAATAAAAAAAAAAAAGCAAAAAAAAAAACCAAATAAAATGGAGCATTTGGTTCCTCAGTTGCACAAACATTTCAAGTGTTCAACAGCCAGCAGCAGAATAGACATTAACCAGTCGCTCAAATGGAGGACTATTTAGTTAGTGTGCATTGATATCAGCAAGGAATATTCTAAGGGCTAGTGATAGAGGACTGTCATCTCATCTTGTATTTACTTATTTATTTTTGGTGCTGGGGATGGAGTCCAAGGCCTCAAGCATGTGAAATGTGAGTTCTACTACTTAGCTATGCCCCTAGCCTGAAATTTTTTTGGGGGGTGATACTGGGGTTTGAACTCAGTGCTTCACACTTGCAAAGAGGAGCTCTACTACTCAAGTCACGCCTCCAGCCCATTTTGCTCTGGTTATTCTGGAAATGGGATCTCACAAACTATTTACCACGGTTGGCCTCGAATCTCAATCCTCCTTATCTCAGCCTCCAAGTAGCTGGGATTACAGGCGTGAGGTACCAACGCCCAGCGCCCCATGGATGCTTATTAGCAAACTACTTTAAAATGCAAATGCTAAGGGATAAAGACATATGCATTAATTTACTCAGCAAATATTTATTGAGTGCTTGCAACACGGCAGGAATAATTCTAATAGGGTCTCTCCTTACAGCTTATGGTGGCTGAGAGGAGGGCCCAAAAGGATCAAAATTAGGTACATGTATGTGAAGGTGGGAGGGGCCATGCTGTCTTACTTATTTTTATTAGCATATTATTAATAATACAAAGGGGTTTCATTGTGCTAGATCCATAGTGAGTTTAACGTGCTTTGATAATATGCACCCCCCCCCTTTGTTTCCATGCGCGCTCTCTCTTTCTCTCTTTTTCTTTTTCCGTGCTATTTTATGCATGCAGGATGTCGGGGTTGTGTGACAGGAGGGTTGTGCACACTGCAGGCAGTGCGAAGGTCAAATGCAAAGGCCTAGAGTCGGGGAACCTTGCTGGGGCGGCAGAAGGAGGTAGAGGTGGCTGGAAGGGACCATGCAGAGGGTAAGGGTTTGGGAAACTAGCTCAGCGATGAGGCAGAGGCCACTTGTTCTAGGCCCCTCGACTCCCCAGCAGTAGTACCTCGGAGAACGCCACACCCAACATGGCGGCCGCGCAGGACCAGTCGGCGGGGCGAGCGGAAGTACGTATCAGCGGGCGCCGGAAGTGATCTTAGCCCCGCCCCTCGCCGGGGTCTCTATTGAGCGGTGGACGCGCCGGCTTCGAGCATCTCTAAGCTGGCAGGCAGGAGGCCCCGGGGCTGCGGCTCCGGCGGCCGCGACACGACACGCCGGCGACATGGCTAGCTCTGGAGAGGTATGGCCAGTGCTTCTCTTCACTTTGAGACCTGGGACCCCCCCCACACCTCGGCCCTTCCCATCCTGACCTCGACCCCTCCCTCCTTGCCCTTCTCCTCCCGACCCTGGCCTCGATCCCGGGCGCATCCTGACCCCAATCCCGCCCTCCTTCCTGGGCCTCGCCCTGCTGTCCCCGATCGCCACCGTGGCGCCTTTCTCTTCGCCCCGGAGCTCTCAGGTCCCTTCTCCATGCTCCTCGCCTTGACTCGGCCTTCGCACTTCGGGACGTTGTCCCTTCCGTCCCGCTTCCCATCTCTGCTCAGTTTAAACCCGGCTCCCGTTTCTCTGGAGCCTGCTGTTGCACGGGGGAGGATGATGGAGGAAAGGCCATTTCATCCGAGGACTTGCGACTTCACCCTGCAATTTCTTCCCCACGCGCTCCGGAGACCTCAGTCCCGTAATAGTGCAGAGTATTTTCCCTGCAGACGAGTAGAGAGGGGATCAGGCCCCTAGCTAGTGACTTTCCTACTTCCTGCCCGTTTACACGTGTCCTTGGGTTTTTATCTATGCTCTCCTAGGACTGAGACAGGTGGGCGCCCTTGGAAATCTTAGGCGCTTCCTTGGGTTCGTGCAGTGAGAGGTTCAAGTATTTTCCTCAGAATGGATGGCGCATGGGGATGCGCGGGCTGCTGACAGCTTCTCTGCGTTTGAAGTGAATTTGGCACAAGAAATGGTTCCTGGGGGCTCCTTGACTGACAGGAAAGGGGGTGTGGCCCACCTGCAGACTCAAGATAGGCTGGAAGGGCCAGGTCTGGGGAGAAGAGTTCTGGCAAAGCCTTGCTGGGTTGGTAGATCTTCGTTGGTTGTGGGTGCTGAGGACAGGTAGGAGGGTCTGGTAACTTGGTTTTATGGAGTTCTGGCTCAAACGACCCCTTCCCTTTCTTGAAGCACAAGTGGGCCACATGACCAGCAAGACTTGCCTCTTGCTGCATTAGGCACCTTCCTCTCCCCTCTCCCTTCTCCCCCTCCACTTGCTACATTGCCCAGGCTGATGTTGAACTTATGGGGTCCAGTGATCCTCCCGTCTCAGCCTCCTAGGTAGTTTAGGCATGTAACACTGAGTTTTTCTTTTGACAAAATCCTAAAGAATAAGAGACAATGCTAGCCAGGCTGGCTCACACCTTAATCCCAGATACTCAGGAGGCAGAGATCAGGAGGATCAGGAGGATCGTGGTTCAAAGCCAGCCTGGGCTAATATTTTTCAAGACCCTATCTCGAAAAATCCCATCACAAATAAGGGCTGGTGGAGTGGCTCAAAGTGAAGGCCCTGAGTTCAAATCCCAGTAAAAGAGGCACTAACTAATTAAAGCTCACATTTTCTAACCTAGAACCATGACTGCAGCCCGGCAGGAGGATGTGGGCATTAAAAAAACAAAAATTCCTGTTTAAGCCAGGTGGTACAATCCTGTAACCCAGTGCTCCAGAGACTAAGGCAGGAGGATCGTTTGAGACCAGCCTGAACAACATAGGGAGATCCCTGTTCAGAGCTGGTCCTGGTTGATCAGGGATGCCATTATAATTGTCCCAGGAGCCTGGGCCAGGGTGATGAGTGGAGGGAGTATTTGGTTTTTTTTTTTTTTTTTGGGCAGTACTGAGGTTTGAACTCAGGGCCCTTGTGCTTGCTAAGCAGGCACTCTACCACTTGAGCCACACCTCCATTCCATTTTGCTCTGGTTATTTTGGAGATAGGGTCTCAAGAACTATTTGCCCAGGCTGGCCTTGAGCCTCTATCCTCCCAATCTCAGCATCCCAAGTAGCTGGGATTATAGTCATGAGCCACTGGTGCCTGGCTTTGTTTGTTTTTGAGATAGGGTCTCATTGTGTAGCTCAGGCTGCCCGCAAACTCAGATCCTCTGCCTCACCCTACTGAGTGCTGGAATTATAGGCGTCAACTACCATGCCAGGCATAGGAATGGCTTTTCTACTCAGCTATGGGCTGTTGCACAAGTTGTCTGTACATGACCCCTCTTGCTTCATCTGGGTTATTCAAACACATCCCAGACATTTCACCCACTTATTTGAGAATCTCTGGTTTCTTTAGGTGCCTTTAAGTCAGAGTCCTTTCTGGCGGGGCAGGGGTTGTGTTTTGGGCAGGTTCTGAGGTTTCAGATTTCAATTTTGCTTAGCTTTTAAAAATTTTTGCAAAATGTTACACAGTTTGAAAAGTACACAAAACACAGAGTTCAGCAAATAACTAAACTTTAGCCTCTCTCAACTTGTCACCATATGGCTCTACCTGGATGGTCCCATGGGCCTGGGAAGGATCACGTGGGATGATGAAAGCCAGCTCCAGTGTCACCCTGAGCCCTGAGTTAGGGTTTCAGACACTCCAGAAATTAGTGCTTGCAGGATTTACCTGGACCCCCCTAGTGGTGGAGAGGGAAGGGAAGTTAGCCCTGCTTGACTCGTTGCGAGACCTTTGACCTGTGCTATTTATGTAAGGGTTTAAGGTGGAGGATGACCTGCCTCAGGCTTCTCCATTGGCTGAGAACGTGGTCCTGGGAGACAGATGGAAGCAAGTACAGTTTACTTGGGTGGAGGTGGAGGTGGGCATCCTCAGGCCAGGTTAAGAAACCCAAGGTCTATCTACTCCCTTCCTCCAGGTGCACACCCTTCACTTGTGTCCTGTCCAGAGCCTGCCACCTGGCCTGGGTGCAAGGAACATTAACTTATAGACACTGTCCCACAAAGGCCACATTCAGGGGAATGACCTGACTCTTGCCGGCCCTGTAGCCACGTTCCAGGAGCTGCCATAGGCAGCGGAGACCCTGTGAGCTGCTGATCAGCTGACTTCTTCTTGGGTCCTCCCTGCCAAGTGCCTGCCTTGACCATGGGGACCACTAGGGCTATGCTGCAGGCCTGACAGGCCGCGACTCTTTTATTTGGGGCACAGCATGTGGGAGAGATGAGCCGGGACAGAGGGAGCAGACTCAATTCCTGGCACACTCGCTAAGTCCTTGTGACTGCTAGGTGACTTTAAGGAAAGCTGTGGCTGGGCTGTGGCTCAGTGGTACTGCACTTGTGTAGGATGCACAAGGCCCTGGTTCCCCCCAGCACTGAAAAAGTAAAGGAAAACTTCAGTACAGTCCTGTTCTTGCGGAAGTCCTGATGCTGATGCTGGCTGTTTTTGTGCTGCACTTCCTTGTGTGTGCTTGGTAGGAGCTCTGCCCCCGAGCCACATCCCCAGCCTAAATCTTTGGACTTCTGACCTTCATAGTAAAGTGACTTTTCTGACCTGGCTGCGTGCTTTGGCGCCTGGTGAGGGCTGGGCAGGATGCAGTATCCCGCAGGACAGTCAGTTCCCAGGGGACCCCTAGCATCTTGGAGCCGGCAGATAGGCTCTCCCTTCATGGCGTCGCAATTGCCATGACAGCAAGATGATTTCCACAAATGCAAAGTTTCCATCCATGCAGACATAGGGGAAGCAGAGTGGAAGAGGGGCAGGTTGGAGACGAGGGGCCTGTAGACACAGTTGCTGGAAACGGTGGTAGAAGTGACTGTGGGCAGCAAGGTGTAGAGATGCACACCTGTATTCCCGGCACTTGGGAGGCTGAGGCAGGAGGATTGTGTGTTCAAGGCCAGTATAGGCTACACAGCAAGACCCTGTCTTTAAAAATCTGAAAAGCATGTCGGAAGCCAAAATCTCTTTTGAACCACAGTGGCTTTTCTACTCTTCAGTCCTGGTTTGTGGAGAATCTCAGGAGCTCTGTGACACCAGTGGGGAGTTGGTGGAGCACCTGTTTCCCACGGCCTCAGGGGCTCTCCTTGCCCTCTCTCCCTACCTGGGGAGGCCAGGCCAACAGCTGCCCTCGGCGATCCAGTGGCAATTTGGTGTCCCCCGTATTTTCAGGACATGACCAATGATGATGACGCACCTCCCACAGCAACTGAGGGGGCAGGTGATGCTCACCTGCTGGGGTTCTCGGATGAGATCCTCCTGCATATCCTAAGCCACGTTCCCAGCACAGACCTGGTGCTGAATGTGCGGCGCACCTGCCGGAAGCTGGCGACCCTGTGCCTGGACAAGAGCCTGGTACACACTGTGCTGCTGCAGAAGGACTACCAGGTGAGGCCGTGCGGGGCTGGGGGGTTGAAAATGACCCAGACACTATCGCGGGAGCAAGAGGAGGGCCCTCCACACACAGACTGCAGCTGGCTCCAGTGCCCTATGGTGGAGAAGTGGCTGATATGGGGGAGGAGGACGCAGGTGCGCTGGACCTAGTTCTGGGAGGGAGCCCAGGCCTTGGGCGGGCACAGAGCAGGTGAGAGGCCTTCCCGTAGGCACTGAGAGTGGGGTTGCTGGGTTGGAAGCTCCAGAGACAGTAGAACATGCTGCTCTCCAGAGGTGCAGTGGGTGGGGCTGTGACACCGCCAGCAGTGAGTGAGGGCTGCGGTTGCTCCAGGTTCCATTTAAACCTGAGGCTACGATAAGCTGCTATGTCCTCCTTTTTAGAAGTTCTGCACTTTTCTGTCTGTTTGCTTTTGCTTCCGTAGTGACGATCCATGTCATGTTAATATACATATGGTGTATAGGGTGGAGGTAGGGTCCAGGTTCACGTTTTATGTATATGGCATGGTTGTCCCAGCACCACCTAGTAAAAAGCTCATCCTTCACCAGCCATGGTGGCGCACACCTGTAATCCCAGGACTCAGGAGGCTGAGGCAGGAGGATCACAAGTTCAAGGCCAATGTGAGCCAAATATTCACACCTTGCCTCAAAAAACAAACAAATAGCTGGATGCTGGTGGCTCATGCCTGTAGTCCCAGCTACTCAGGAGGCAAAGAGCAGGAGGATCGTGGTTTGAAGCCAGCCCAACCAAATAGTTTGCAAGACCCTGTCTCGAAAAAACCCATCACAAAACAGAGCTGGTGCAGTGGCGCAAGGTGTAGGCCATGAGTTCAAGCAAAACAGAACAAAACAAATAAACAAAAAATAGAAGAAAAGGGGTGGGGGCACCTGCCTAGCAAGCACGAGGCTCTGAGTTCAAATCCCAGTACCACCCCAAAACAGAAGAAAAGATAATTTTTTCCTCGAATAGCTTTTAAATCTTGAAAATCAGTTGATGATGTGTCTTAAATATAAAAAGAACCAGATCAGTCTGGTGCTGGTGCTCACTCCTGTAGAATCCCAGCTACTCAGGAGGCAGAGATCAGGAGGATCACAGTTTAAAGCCAGCCCAGGCAAATAGTTCAGGAGACCCTAACTTGAAAAAATCCATCACAAAACAGGGCTTGTGGAGTGGCTCAAGGTGTAGCCCTGAGTTCAAACCCCCGTATTGCAGAAAAAAAAAAAAAGCAGATCTGTAGGGCCTTGACCTTAAGATCATGGGAAAAGTTCCTGACTGTTCTTCCTGGTCAAGCAGCAGAGGCCTGGACACAGAGCCAGGCCCTTGTGGGAGCTTTTGCTCTTTCTGCTGGGTAGGGGCTATGGATAGTGCTCCCCAGGGCACAGATGTCATTGCCTCCTGTGCATGAAGGGCCTGTTCCTGGAGAGGAAGGGTAGCTCCCAAAACTCAGCGCTGCTCTGTGTACCGCGAGCATTTGTCCTGTGGTTGCACAGCCAAGGGTGTAGATCTCCTCAGAGTTGGAATCCCAGCCACTGAGTCACCTTTGCGTGGAGACTCAGTGCACAGTTCCTGACAGGCTACATGGAGATAGCCTCAGGGCCGATCTTGGGTGACCGGGATCCATGCTCCCTACCGGTGTGGGTTCCCATAAGCCAGTACAGGCCAGGTGTTTTGTTGTGTTTTGTTTTGCAGTACTGGGGTTTGAACTCATGCTTGCTAGGCAGATGCTCTGCCACTTAAGCCACATCCCAGTTAGGGTCTTGTGCTTTTGCCCAGGCTGGCCTTAGACTGTGATCCTCCTGCCTCAGCCTCCTGGGTGGCTGGGATTACAGATGCATGCCACCACGCCCATGTAGCAGACCAGTTATTAGCAGTGGCAGCCCCACTTTCTGTTTCCATCAGCTGGGTCCTTTGTCTGTTGGCTGCGGGGAGCACGAGGGCAGGGCAAAGCAGGCAGCTTCCCCCGAGCAGGAGCTGAGTGCCACTGTGAGCCACAGCCCCAGGTGTTGTGGGGAGTGTCTGCAGAGGGCCCTGAGCCCCTTGCTTCCTCCCCATCCTGTCCTTCCTGCAGGCCAGCGAGGACAAGGTGAAGCAGCTGGTGAAGGCGATTGGCCAGGAGATCCAGCAGTTGAACTTGGCTGGCTGCTACTGGCTGTCGGGCTCCACCGTTGAGCACGTGGCGCGCTGCCGCAGCCTGGTCAAGGTGAACCTGTCGGGCTGTCACCTGACCTCCCTGCGCCTCTCCAAGATGCTGTCGGCCCTGCAGCACCTGCGTTCCCTGGCCATCGACGTGAACCCTGGCTTCGATGCCAGCCAGCTGAGCAGCGAGTGCAAGGCCACGTTGAGCCGTGTGCAGGAGCTCAAGCAGACGCTCTTCACGCCGTCCTACGGCGTGGTGCCCTGCTGCGCCAGCCTGCAGAAGCTGCTGCTCTACTTCGAAATCCTTGATCGCACGCGCGAGGGCGCTGTCCTCTCTGGCCAGCTCATGGTGGGCCAGAGCAACGTGCCTCACTACCAGAACCTGCGCATCTTCTACGCGCGCCTGGCCCCCGGCCACATCAACCAGGAGGTGGTGCGGCTCTACCTGGCCGTCCTCAGTGACCGCACGCCTGAGAACCTGCACGCCTTCCTCATCTCTGTCCCTGGTAGCTTCGCCGAGAGTGGGGCCACCAAGAACCTCCTGGACTCCATGGCCCGCAACGTGGCCCTGGATGCCCTGCAGCTGCCCAAGTCCTGGCTGAACGGCTCGTCCCTCCTCCAGCACATGAAGTTCAGCAGCCCCTTTTACTTCAGCTTCAGCAGGTGCACACTGTCCGTCGGCCATCTGATCCAGCGCGTCATCAACGGAGGCAAGGACCTGCGGAGCCTGGCCAGCCTGAACCTCAGCGGATGTGTGCACTGCCTGTCCTCAGACCCTCTGCTGCACAAGGCCGAGGACGACATCGACAGCACGATCCTGGAGATGCTGGTGACGTCCTGCTGCAACCTGCGCCACCTGAATCTCTCGGCCGCCCACCACCACAGCTCCGAGGGCCTGGGCAGGCACCTGTGCCAGCTCCTGGCCCGGCTATGCCACCTGCGCTCCCTCTCCCTGCCGGTGTGCTCTGTGGCTGACTCTGCACCACGGCCGGACCGTGCGCCCGCCCAGCCCGCCATGCATGCTGTGCCCCGCGGCTTTGGTAAGAAGGTGCGCATCGGGGTGCAGGCCTGGCCCAGCCCCTTCTTGGGCCAGGCGGCCCCCCAGCCTTCCTCCGTGTTCTGGTCTCTGATGAAGAGCCTCCGCTTTCTGGGACACCTGGAGCTGATTGGGTCCAACTTTTCCTCAGCCATGCCACGCAATGAGCCTGCCATCCGTAACTCCCTCCCGCCCTGCAGCCGGGCGCAGAACGTCGGGGACTCGGAGGTGGCTGCCATCGGCCAGCTGGCCTTCCTGCGCCACCTGACGCTGGCCCAGCTGCCCGGCATCCTGACAGGCTCGGGGCTGGTGAGCATCGGCCTGCAGTGCCAGCAGCTGCAGTCTCTCTCGCTGGCCAACCTGGGCATGATGGGGAAGGTGGTGTACTTGCCCGCCCTCTCTGACATGCTGGCACACTGCAGGCGACTGAAGGACCTCAGGTGAGGCCCCGTGGAGGCCTAGAGGCAGACAAGGGAGCGAGTAGCTCAGTGGCAGACCTGTGGTGGGCCTGCGGGGGCACTTAGAGACACATACCCTTGTCCTTGGGTGTGCGAGACCCGGGTGTGTGTGGTGCGGGCGGCTCGGGGCGGCTCGGGGAGTGCTTGTTCCTCCTAGTTATTCGCGTGCTTTCTCCATTCGGTGCCTCTTCATCCAGTTTTCCCTGAGCCCTATAACTCCTGCCAGCTAGATATACTTGTTCCCAGACACCAGAACCAGAAAGCAGGAAGTTAGGATTTGAACCCAGGGCTTTCAGACCTAGCAATTCTCAGAGGATGTGTAGCAGTTAGCCCCAGATGCCCCAAAACCTGCCCAAACCCAAATGGTCCAGAGCAGCCGGGGCACTGCAAGAGGTGGGAGAGGCAGGATGACAAGGCAGGAGACATGGGCTGGTGACAGACTGAAGGACTTTACTTGGGGCAGGGGTGGCTGCTTTCCTGTCCTGGGGACTGGAGGCAAGCAGGATGGAGAAGATGGATCAGCTCAGGAGCAGGATGCAGACCCCTGGGAATGTGGCCTGGGGAAAGGGGAAGGAGTGGAGGCCATGGCCTTCAGAGGACACCTGTCTAGGCTTTTGCCTGGGGCACATGCATTTCCAGAGACAAGCATGAGATGGGCTCACACAGCTGTGCTATGGGGTCAAGGGCATGCAGTGACATCCAGTACTTTTATCGTACTGGGACTTGAACTCAGGGCCTAGACCTTGAGCCACTCCATCAGCCCTTTTTTTTGTGTGAAGAGTTTTTTGAGATAGGGTCTCACAAACTAATTATCTAAGCTGCCTTTGATACGCAATCCTCCTGATCTCTTCCTCCTGAGTAGCTGGGATTATAGGCGTGAGCCACTGGCACCTGGCTGTGAGTACATTTCTTGAAGCTTCTGCATTTCCGGCCTTGTCAGGCTGCTCGCCCTTGGTCCACAGCTGGATTAGGCACAGGGGAGAAGCATGTGTTCACGCTTGGGTCCCACGCATCCCAGTTTGGCTCACTTTGAGAGCCGAACTGCAGAGGTTCAGACGCCCCCCCGCCGATTAGAGGTCCCAGTCAAAGTTAGTGGAAGTTTTGGGCTTCCCGTCTGCATGAAGCAAGCATCATGGCCTGGCAAATGGAACTGTGACCAGGGCAGCCGCTGGCCCTCCCCTACCGCCCACATGGTTGGACTCTTCCAAGGTCTCAGGGGTATGGATGGATGCCTTCCTTCCTTGCAGCTGCCCCTGTCTTCTTCCTGCTTCCTCTGCACAGTGGCCCCCACTCATGCCTTTCTGTGCCCGGCCTGCCATGCCCCTGGCCTTCCCTGAAGCAGTGGTGAGTGTGGTCAGTGCTTGCCATGTGTGGATCAGAGTTGCTAACGATGGCAAAAGACATCCAGCAAGCGAAATCCCCCAGGGTCTCTCCCCTGCCCCCTACTTGCCTCCTGTGATTGGAGTTGGACTTTTTCTAAATTCAGGCAGCTGGGGAAGCAATTGAATTCTTTCTTGGCCAGGTCAGAGCCCAGCTCTTTCTAGGTCTGTCTGCCTTGCTATCATTGTCTGCTTTCAGGGCCTCACACTTGCTAGGCAGGTGCCCTAACACTTGAGCCATGCTCCCAGCCCTTTCCTCTTTGGTTATTTTTTTGAGATAGGGCCTTTCATTTTTTCCAGGCCAGCCTAGACTGTGATCCTTCTATTTATGCTTTTCACAGAGCTAGGATGCCAGGCACCTGCCACTGTACCCAGCTTTTTTTGTTAAGATGCGGTCTCTAACTTTTTACCTGGGCCAGTCCCAAACTTCGATCTTCCTAATCTTTTACCTTGAGTAGCTGGGATTATAGATGTGGAAATTGTGATTTTTCTGACTGAACTGCAGCCAAACTGGGAGGTGATTATCCGGGCGTGTGGATAAAAACAAGCCGGTGAAAGTGCAGTAAGACAGTCACAGAGTTTGAAAATCGAGTCCCAAAAGGTAGAGGATGAAAAGAGCTGACTTTCCTGACCCCACTTCCCCAGGAGCTGCTGACAGCAACTGCAGCCAGAGAACCTGAGTCTACACAGGTTGTCTATTCCCAGTGATGCACAGGTAGCTGTGGACCTTGAAGAGCTATGGGGGAGGTACCTGATGACAACTGATCAGGCAGAGGAGGAGGAATAAACACAGGGCCCTGGGCAAGAGCTGTCAGCAGAGGGCATGCGGAGGGGGTACTCCCCGGCCTGGGGTGGGCCTCTGAGCTTGTGCTGCAGCCCCTTTGCATGGGCTCCCAGGAGTTCACCTCTAAAGGCCTCAACAGTCTGGGGGTATAGATTCTGTTGTCCCCACTTTGTAGATGTAAAAAGTGAGGTCCAGCCGGGTGCCAGTGGCTCATGCTTATAAATCCTAGCTACTCAGGAGGCAGAGATCAGGAAGATCGTGGTTTGAGGCCAACATTAACAAATAGTTTGTGAGACCCTATCTTGAAAAACCAAAAAAGGGCTGGTGGAGTGTTTCAAGGTGAAGGCCTTGAATTCAAACCCCAGTACTGGGAAAAAAAAAAAAAAAAGTGAGGCCCAGAGAGTTAATGGGGTCACACAGCTGGCCCCATGCAGTAGGAGTGTCACCGACCTCACGGGTAACCGAGTTTCCGACAAGGGAATGGAGCAGCATTTGGTGGTCACTGAGGGGTTCTGGGACATGGTACCTGTGGCTGGCTGCCCTCTCTAGGAGCAGGGCCATGTGTGCGGCGTGGGGTCCTGTTGCCCCTGTGTCCTGACCACAGTTCCTGGTGGCAGCTCTGTGCACAACCTTGAGGCTGTGCCCACAGCCACAGAACCACGTATGCTCTGAGCGGGTACTGCCTGTTCCGAACAAACTCTGGCTTCCAGAATGCTGCCAAATGTCCCTGTTGCTTTGGATGGCTGCCTCCTGCAGCAAGTGAGCCCAGGGGAATGACAGGGAGCAGAGCAGGTGGCGGGTGCTGGTGGTGGGCGGAGGTTGATAAGAGGAAGCCCTGTTCTGCTGTTCTGCGTCTGCTCCAGGCTGCCTCCTGGGGCTTGGGAACTGCTGGGGTCCTGCACTTCCCTGGGGAATGTCCTGAGTTGGCAGCCCTGCAGGTCCCCGGCCGACCTGCCGGCTGCTGCCACTGCTGTCCCCGTTGTCATGAACTGAGTGTGTGCCAGCCAGGCTCCGGCTGCAGGGGCAGTTGTTCTGGCTGTGGGACCTCTAGGGCAAGAGGATCACGAGGCAGGAAGAGAAGGACATCTCTTTCCCACAGTTGGCCAGGCCCTGCCTTGTGCTGGAGGAGGTGGGGAGGGCGTCACCCTGAGTCACCCTGGACTGCCTGACCTTAGAGCCGGAGCAGTGCTGGGTGGACACAAGAGCCCGGAGCGGGAGTGGGGGCTGTCACAGCCTTAGGGGCACCTTACCTGTGCAACTTGGGCGCTGCACTCCAGCTCACTGCAATCGACTTCCTGTGCCCACTGAACCACGGAAGGACGTGGAATGCTCCACAGCGGGAAGGTTGAGGCTGATGAAGGTGGGCACCTTCTGTTCCTCCCTCCCTCACACCACCGGGCACTTGCCTTAGATCATCCTGGTGGCAGACTGGGCTGCCTGCTGGTCCTACCTGCTGTGCAGGGGAACTGGGAGCGTAAGAGTGGACTGTGGACTGAACACTCCCATGGGGCCTGCCTCTGCCTGGGTACCTGTGACAGGTGACTTCCTTCAGGGAAGAATCTAGAAGGGGCTGTCTAGTTGAAAGGTTTATGGCTGGGTGTGGCTCAAGTTCTTGCCTAGCAAGTGCAATGCCCTGGGTTCAAACCCCAGTACAAAAAAAAAAAAAAAAAAAAGCCAGTGGCTTTGTAAAGTTGGTCTGGGGAGACCTGGGGTGGGTAGCACAGGCCCACTTCGCCATCTAGTGGCCAAGATGACAGCTGCTGCCTCACACCCCATTCCATTCTGTCAGATGGGGAAGAGGAGGCCCAGGCAGGTTGGTGACTGCTGCTACCTTCAGGAACTCTGCACTCCTTCTGTCCGTACTTTCAGGTCCCCAGAGTGATACTGACCTCAGGGTTTGTTTTTAAAAAATCAACACTGCAGTGCTGGGATCTATCCTAGTGCTGCAAAAAAAAAAAAATATATATATATATTATATGTATTATATGTATTATATGTATTATATAAATAATACATAGTGTTCAAACATTTTCCCTAGAAAAATCAGCTCCAATTCAGACCTGAGGATGATGTGTCACTCATTAGCAGTCTGAGCTCTGCCCATGTAGGTGACTGGGTGACTGGTGTCTTTGGGGACTGAGATGAAACCACGCAGCCACCTTCAGGGTCTGAAGAGGATCTGCTTTGCTGCCTGTGTTGGGACTCCTGTGTATTTACTTATTTATTTTTGCGGTACTGGGGCTTTGAACTCAGGTCCTACATCTTGAGCCACTCCACCAGCCCTTTTTGTGATGGGTTTTTTCGAGATAGGGTCTCTTGAACTGTTTGTCTGGTCTGGCTTTGAACCATGATCCTCCTGATCTCTGCCTCCTGAGTAGCTGGGATTATAGGCATGAGCCACCGGTGCCTGGCTCCCTGTGTTTTTAAAGACAATTATCGCATAGCGCCTGTGGGTGAGGTCCTGGGGGCTTCCTGCCTCAGTCCCCAGCACTGCGGGCAGGCAGTGGGCATGTGGCTTTTCCATATCACCCCCTCAGGAGACCTGTATTTCCCCCACAATCCTAGCGTCAGCAATCTCACAGAATCTCTAAATATAAGATAAAGCCAGTTTCTCTGGCTGTGCTCCACACGTTCAGTAGCCACAGGTGGATTAGCTGGTGTCTGCACACGAGGCAGCTTGCTCTCAGGATCAGGTGTGGCTCAATTCTGCAGTACCCTCTTCTGTCTTTGTCACCCAAGTCAGGTAATGTGATGTTGTTTTCAGTTAGCTGCGCTGAAACACACTGGACTCTGGTCTGGCCTTGTGTACGGGAGGACAGGGACACCTGCTGACTGCCCCTTACTTGTGCCCACTGGGTCACCCTCATTTGCATTGGCTCTGTTCATCGTGGACCATGCCACCAGGGGCTGGGCGACTTTCATGGGGACACTCTGTCCCCAGCATCCTGAAAGCTTCTCTCTTTTTCTGGGGAGAGCCCACCTGCTCTGAGCAACCTGTGAGGTTGGCAACTTGGTCTGGTCAATGTACAGTGAGACATGGGCCTCCTGGATTTCCTGTGGGTTCCGTCCTAGACAAACCTGGGTGACATGGGGCTGGCTGTCCCGTGGGCAAGGGTTAAGGCTACAGAGACTCCATCCCAGGTCTGAAGCTGGTTTCAGCTGTGTGAGTGCCCCGTACCGGCCTGGCTCAGGCACTTGCTAGGTGCACTTGCTCAGCTGAGCTTTGGGGACTCAGGATAGAGTCCCTGTGTCAGATGCAGTGCCCCAGCAGGGCCAGGCCTGGGCGAGAGCACCTCCTAGGGGCTGAGGCCCCACCATACTCTAAGGAGTCTTGCAGTGACCTAGGTGGCTCATGTAGAAATAACCTTGATTTTTTTTTTTCAAGAGCTGGTTATTGAGCCCAGGGCCTCACACATGCTAGGCAAGCACTCTGTCACTTGAACCACACCATCAGTCCTTTGGTTTGTATTTTGTTTTTGAAACTGAGTCTCGCCTCGAACTCTCAATCCTCCTGCCTGTGTGGTAGCTGGGATTACAGGCATGCACCACCATGGACATGATCTTGACTACTAGCCAGTGGCCGTCCTGTCTGAGCATGCTCTTTCTCAGGCATTGAGTTCTTATGGTCAGACACAGTGGCTTCAGCTGGATGCAGTCCACGTAGCAGAGAAGCCATTTCCTCGGGAGATTGTGTCCTTATGTGATTCCCTCTCTCCTGGCCTTCAGAAGGCCATGGTCTGCGTGGGCTGTGGCTCTGGTCCCTGTACCATCATGCCTGCCTGGCCAGCCACACTGCCTCCTGCCTGGTAAAAAGGCCTCTAACTTCGCTGCAGCCTTGCAGCTGCTCTGACCTAAGGTATGAAATGAAGTGCGTGCTGTGTGCAGAGGACCAATGTGTGGCTGTAGCCTGAAAAGCCAAGCCTGGCCCTCCCCTCCTGAGGGATGGGTGTTGTAGGTGTTCTTCAGGAAATGTCAAACTGGGCTTCCTTCACCAGGCCGCCATGATCTTTCTACCATGGAAGGGTCTCTGCGGCCAGCATCTTCAGTCCTGGCTCTCTTTGGCATGTGTGCTAGAGTCCTGGGGCCTCTGGGACAAGTGACCATAGACTGGAAGACTTGACTGATCTGGAGGCCACATATCTGAAATCAGGAGTGGGCGGGGCTGGTTCCTTCTGTGGCCGTGAGGGAGGCTGTCTCACCTCTTCCCAGCTGCTCATGGGGCTCCATTTGGTCCTTGACTTGCAGGCGTGTCGTTCTGGTCTCCGCCTCCATCTTTACACATCTGTCTTCCCTGCCTATCTCTGGGAGTTCACGTGGACTTCTCCCCACCTCCCAGAGCCCAGGCTGGCCTCAGTCTCGAGATCCTCCTGCCTCTGCCTCCTGGGTCCTGCGAAGCCAGGCGTGTGCCAAGTCTTAGGAGGAACCAGTTGTTCTGTTCAGAGCTGGCCTTGCTCACTCAGATCTGTAAAGATACTGTTTCCAAATGAGGTCCCTCACACATCCAGGACTGGGACTTCCAGTGGCTCTGGGGGACAGGTTGGCCCACCCAGCTTCCATCCCCCTCCCTGGCTCTCAGCTGCCCCCTCCAGCGCTCCTTCCTCTTCATGTGCTTTTGAAGCCCCTTGAGTCCCCCAGCCTTCTCTGCTCACTCCTTGATTCTTGAGGGGCTCACGTAGCCTACCATGGTACAGGCATCTCCCAGGCCCCATGGCCAAACTTCTGGATGGGTCTCAGCACCTCCGGCAGCCTGTCCCCACCTCCACCACTCTGTCGGTCCTTTCTGCTTTCCATCTGGGTGGACAGATGCCCAAAGAAGATCTGGAACCTCATCCTTTGCTCTATTTTTCTAGTCTGGGTGCAGGCTTCTGTGGCCACTGTTAAGGCCAGATGCGGCATGGCTGGAAGCCACCATCCTTCCTGCAGGCTGAGTCTTGGCTTCTTGACTAGGTCCACTCCCCTCAGGGCCTCTCTCTGCTTGGAGCCATGCCATCCTGTCCACCTCTGTCATGGCTGGTGTGGCCCCCACCTGGCTTGGCGCCCTCCCCACCCCAGCCTCTGGGCTCCCACCTTTTCCCTCTGTGTCTGTTCTCTGTCTCTGCCATCAGACTGAGCTCCCAAGGGCAGGGCCATGTGTCAGTTCATCTCTGTGCCACCGCCTGGCATAGCAGCATGGGAGAGGGACGAGGCAGGCTGTGAGCACCGCTGCTGGGATCTGTGGACGCTGGCTGGCACATGGGGCTCCCCGGCTCTCCCTAAGTCAGGTTCTCCATGGAGACCCTGGGGTTCCCAGTCTGCACCCCGATGTCCTGAGATTGTGGTGAGGTGTGGGCACTGGGGGCAGCGGGCAGGGTCTCACAGTGCCATCTCTCCCGCAGGCTGGAGCAGCCCTACTTCAGCGCCAACGCCCAGTTCTTCCAGGCCCTCAGCCAATGCTCCTCGCTGCAGCGCCTCTGCCTGGTGGCCCGCAGCGGTACCCTGCAGCCGGACGCCGTGCTGGCCTTCATGGCCCGCTGTCTGCATGTTGTCGTGTGCCACATGTTCACTGGCGAGTCCCTCACCACCTGCAGGAGCCTGCAGCAGTCGCTCCTCCGCAGGTGAGTGGCGCGCCTCGGGTGGCCAGGTGGCCTCAGACAGCACCTCTGTCCCCAGGACCCAGGGGCCCAAGCCCCAGGAAGCACCAAGCAAGAGGAGGGTCTGAGGCCCCCCACTAAGCATGGAAGTGGTCACGTATCCTTACATTTTGCTGTGCACATGAAATGTGTATAAAATGCACACCCCATGAGTTCTCCACCCCCCTCCCACTTGGGTGTGTGGCACTGGGGTTTGAACTCAGGGCCTCATGCTTGCTAGGCAGGCGCTCTACCATTTGAGCCACTCCGCCAGCCCTGCACTTTTGTTAAAGGTGAGTCCCCACCGACTGCAGCCCAACCCAGAGATCATCCCTCCCCACTCCCTCCTTGAACAGCTCTGTCCTCCAACAGCAGAAAACCAGGCTGTCACCATCCCCTGCACACTCACGGACGTGTGCAGTCCTAGTGTGTCCAGGGACCACTTTCAGCATTGCTCACCCATCCCTGTGAGGCCCAGAGTGGCTGATGGAGGTATCCGCTCATGCAGAGCTGGGCTGCAGTGTGGATTCCAGGCACTTAGCCTTGGACTTGTCTGCACACCTCCTTCAGGGTGTTCTATCGTTCATTTGGAATAGGTCCATTTGTTATGGCCGAGCATTCTGTTTTGTGGTCACCATACCTCCTGGTTGATTCTGGTCAGCTTTCTTGGCATGTGAGCCTTGCCACATAGCTGTGCGAGCCAGTGCTGCACAGAGGGAGAGCAGTGTGCCTGCTGCTCCCCCACCTGCCTCCCACCTCATCACTCTTTTTTTGCACACAGATGAAACGAGTTACGGGTTCTCTTCTGTCCCTTCTCCCTTCCCTATGTGCACTCTGCTTTTTTTTTT